TTTTTTTTACTATTTTCAGATCATATCTTGTAGTGCCACTTTGTCTAACCTTTTATGATGGCAATTTACGTGGGAAGAGTCCCTTCTAGCAACTCAAATTGCCCTACTTGCCAATTCCTCTTTTCAAAAACAAACAAATTAGTGTTCAATTTTACAACACAAGTGTAAAATATTACTAAATCATCTTCTTTTTTTTCCCTTTCTGATCCATAGATTTCAGTCTAGTCATGTAAGAGATTAATCTCATATGTGATATTACGACTATGATTAATCTAATATATTTTCACACACAGTAAATCGAACACGAGATTTTTCTATAAATAAATCGTTTAGTGCATGATGTCTAATTGCTACATCAACCCATATATAAAATCTTACTAAATCGTATCTTTCTTTACCTGTGGACAGAAGTAATTGTGATTTCCGAATAGATACAAAATTGGTTTTTAGCTTTTAATAACTAAAGTGGCTTCCGAAAACTCCAGGCAAAGAAAGAAACAACGTGCAAGAGAGAGAGGACACTTATCTACAATACAAATTTCTGGTCACACTCATCCATCTTTGTTCACTACCCCCCTTGTAGTACATTTCTTTGTCTGCTCCTCTTAGTCTTCTCTAAAATAGTAAATATTCCATCACACATTGTATCCAACTTAATATATTATATTCTCTCCTCCAATCATATAACATAACCACCACGGCTTTCATCTTAACTACTTAACATTAATTTAATTAATTTCCAATAAAAATATATTTAAAAAAATCCCAATAATTCCATCATCTAAATTATAAGTTGTCTACAAAATAATATTCTCCATCTTGTTCTCTCCTCTCCCAATTAATTTCACCAAAACCCCATCAATCATCAATATTCATGGGTGATGTTCTAAGCCCCTTCACAATCTCATCCCCTCCTCCACCCTCTTCCCCCTCAAACAAGAACAATAGCATGCCCATGTTGTACTATGGCCTAGTGGTAGTTGGAACCGCAGCCATAGTGCTAGCCTTATACAACCTCGTTCTCCTCCGACGCAGCCATGCGCGCGTGTCGCGCGCACAGCATGCAGAGTCGAATCGAGGAGAAGGAGTTATGGAAAGAGGAAGGAGTCTCGACAACCAGTCCAAGAACTTGTTGTCGAGCTTCAAGTACACTAAGGAAGTCGTGGCAACGAAAGAAGAGGAGGATTTCGAGTGCCCCGTTTGCTTATCGGTTTATGAAGAAGGAGAAGAGGTGAGGAAGCTTCCACAGTGCAAACACTGTTTCCACGTTATTTGCATAGACATGTGGCTATACTCTCATTTGGATTGTCCAATTTGTAGAACACCCGTTGGGCCTCTTTGTTCGCCTGAGAATTCTCGTGATGAGTTCATGGAATCTGGTGGCATCGTTGATTGAGTTCGCAAGTGTGTGGAGTGAGGAAAAATTATTAGATGATTCCTGTGAATTCTGTAGTTTAGATTAATTTTTACATGACACATGATTAAAATTAAGAACCCTAATAATGTGTCGGGTGAAAAATAGTGGAAATTATTATATGATTCGAATCATACAATAATTTATATAGTGGGTGGGGCCTTTTTTTCTCTTGGGAAGGATGGGACATTGGTGAGTGAACGACAACTTGAACACCACCACTCTAGGTTCATTAGTCCTTCGGAGTAATTTAGGAATGAGTACAAACGAGGAAATTTTTACCTGTTTTAATTTGCTTCTTATTACAGGTACTTTATTTAACATTAAATATGTGTAAAGCAATTTTTAGAAATGAATATATATTTCGTATAACTTACTGGCACCATTGCACTTGAATGTTATAATATCTTATTTTTTATTTAGTTTTTTCTTCACAAATACACGAAACACCCCTACACACGTATATGTATGTATGAATGAATTACTATGCTCAACCAGATTTTAGGTTTGAATCCTAGTGCAGTGATTCGTTCTAATTTTGATATATCTAAAAAAATCATATATGTGTTTTAAGATATTATTAGACATTGAATATAGACATCCCTGTTAATAATTATTAGACCTTTGATTTGTTACGTTTTCAGGGAATAGGCTTTTCTACTAAACATAATTTTCAATGGTTATTCAATGTGTTTTTCATATTTAATATTTGTTTTTATACTCTTTGTAAAATCTCAAGTTATAATTGTTTTTAAACTTTTTACTTTAAAATTTGTTTTCTTTAAATATTAATTTTAAATTTTTTATATTATTTTTTCCTGTCAAATCTGAGAAAAACGTGTTTTCAAATTTATTCTATTTTCATTTTTTTAAATTTATTTATCCTATATTTAGGTTATTTTATTTATTTATTTAAATCGTATGGTTCGTTTTTAGTCACTTCAACCGAAAAATATCTTTATGATATCCCAGATATTTACTAGTTTTATGTATGTATTTATAGCTAAATAAAATATAAATGAAAAAATTATAACAACATAAAAAATCCATAATCTAAAAATTTTGATCAACTTGAAGATTCAGCCCTTTTGAGTTTAGGGGCCCGGGGCGGCTTATGGCTGCATTTGATTAGTTGGGCATATACCATTGGTTTTGGTCCACTTGCGTCCACATCTTTCAACTGTCTTCTTTCCCTTGTGTTTATTCATTATTTTTATTCATTATTGCTGAGTTGTTATGTGTCATTAACATATTTATTTATAAAATTAATAATTTTTTTAGAGTCTATTTAGATATAAGTTATTTTTTTTAGAACTTATCTACTAAAAATAAAGAGTATTTTTTTTTGGTAGATAAACTCTCAAAATCATTTTTAAGTTTGTATATAGACTTTTAGTAAAAGTTAGTTTCTAAGTTTTATATGATATCAATGTAAAAAGAATTTTAATGCGAATCAATTACAATTCAGAATAGATATAACTTTAAAAATGATATAATAAAAGTTAAATATATATATTTTTTATTTATTTTTCAAATAAATTTAGATAATAAGGTATGACTCTATGTAAGGACACAGTCAACCATTAATTAATTTAAAGATTTTTAATAGAATTATAGATAGTCTACTCTATTCGAATAGAAGTTCGCATAGTACAAGGAAAGTTAGATTTGATCCCATGTTTTAACTAGTAGGAATGAAAAGATTTAACAGATTGTATCACCCTTATGAAACAGTTAAACTTTTTACTATAAATAATAATTTATGACTAAATAACAATATAAAATAGAATCAAAGTTGACTCAGTAGTTAGAGAGTTGTAATAATATGCAAATATTTTTAAATTCAAATTTTTGGTTGTGATTGTAAATTGTAATTCTTTCAAATACAAAATATTACAAGATAAGTGGAAAAAAGACTTTTAAAATTGGTTATTTTTAACTTTTAAAATTGGTTTCGTAACCGATTTTAAAAGAGCCGATTTTGAAAGTTAGACTTTTAAAATCGGTTAAATAACCGATTTTAAAAGTTAACTTTTAAGATCGGTTATTTTATAACCGATCTTAAAAGTCCGGGCTGAAAAAAATTAATCTGGAACTGGCCGTTCCAAAACCGGAACGGGTTGTTCCAGATTTTTTTAAATGAGTTCGGGTCGTTCTCCTTGCAGAATGGGCCATTCCAGTTTCGTAATTTTCCCAAAATGAACCTACAACGAAAATAGAGACAAGAGAAGAGCATGAGAAAACGAAAAGAGACACAAGAAGAGCATGAGAAGACGAAAACGAAAACGAAAACGAAAACGAGAACAAAATTTACCTTATTGGAGACTTTAGAAAATGAGAGCGCAAGAGAGTAAAAAATGAATAGAAGGAAAGATTAAAGAGAATGAAAATGGAGGAAAATATAAAAGGTTTCTGACGATACTTTTAAAATCGGTTATTTATGAACCGATTTTGTATACTACATACAAAATCGGTTATGAAATAACCGATTTTAAAAGTAGCACTTTTAAAATCGGTTCTTAAATAACCGATTTTAAAAGTAGTACTTTTAAGATCGGTTAAAATATAACCGATCTTAAAAGTACTTTTAAGATCGGTTATATAAGAACCGATCTTAAAAGTAATGTCTGAATCAACTTTTAAGATCGGTTCTTTTGTAACCGATCTTAAAAGTCCTTTTAAGATTGGTTATTTTATAACCGATCTTAAAAGTACTTTTAAGATCGGTTAAATTTTAACCGATCTTAAAAGTGTTCATATTATTTACAAAATTGTCACCGCATCACTTTTAAGATCGGTTACCTTATAACCGATCTTAAAACTCCAATTTTAAATCCAATTTTTGCACTAGTGATAAAATCAAATTTTTTACTATTATTATACAAACTATTTCTTTTATAAGTTATAATAAAAGTATATTATAACGACTCAATAAGTCATTGCACTAACTACTGAAAAATCAACGTTAAGCAGAAGTAAAAACATTCATAAAGTAAAATGTATAGAATATACAAAACATATAAAATCTAATACATATATTATATACATCACTACTAGACAACTACAAAATGTCCTCTATACACCCAGTCGAGGATTCCCAAAATATGGTCAACATAGTCCCGATCACAAGAAAAATAAATGTAAGCTTACAAACGAAACAACATACAACAATACAACTAAAGCAACAAAAACATAAATCGAAAATAGTACAACTCACAGCTTACAACATGCTCAACATTTATTAACTTATTCATAATCAACATCTCAACATACTTATATTAACAACTAATGTGTTGTCACGCATGTCAATTAAGGAGATCTCCTACAACTAAGATGAGTAATTTAAGTGATTTGTCCTTATCGAATCACAATGTTAGACCAATCTCAACTAGGTTAGATATACGACAATGTTAAGCCTCATAAGAGAGTTAGGTGTAGATAACTTAGTTTGATTTCTCAAGTTTTTCCATTTAAATAAGGAAGTATGATACTATATTAAGATAGAATAGTTTGGAGATGAGTCTATCATGGCATTAGTTAGCTTAACTAAGCTACCTATATGATTAACCCAACAACTATCATCTAAATACCACAACCCTCCGATACTAGGTTAGGGATTTTAACCCCCAACTTTGTACCTTACTTGGTTAGTCATTCAACTAAGATATGGTTTGACTACTTCCATAGCAAAATCACATAAAGCCTAGGGGGAAGGAACTTTAAAAAACATACAACTTAATTCACTTTAGCATCTATGTATCTCAACTTAGACATGTATCTCAACCACATGTCCACAACTTTACCACTTTATACAACATACAACTTTACAACTTTCAACTTTAAATAACTAAACAACTTAACAATTGAACCAACATCAACCTCAACTTTAACAACTTCAATTACAACATAACAACTATACAACATAACATCATTAATCCATCTATCAACTTACAACATAGGCATTCATCATCATATATCCACGTACATATACATCAACATTTTCACAATCAAAACAACATGCAACTATACTTCAAGAATTCACCATAAGCCAAAGATTCATAGCTTTAAATCCCCCCTTTTTTGTTGTTAATTTCATCAAGAGAGATAGGGAGAAAGTAATAGAGAATTTGTCGCTCAACATTGGGAGCAATGTTCAGCCTCAAATTCTCTTTCAACCCAATGCTTAGCATTGAAGGCAATGCTTAGCATTAGGAGCAATGCTCAGTCTCAAACTCTCTAGCAGCCCCAATGTTTAGCTTTGAAGGGAATGCTCAACATTGAGACCAGACAACCACTCAATCATTCAACTCCAAGACTTCAAATTCACACATGGGACTTAGAATCAACTACATGCAACATCAAATTTCATATATATGCAACATTCTCAACTCATTTTCAACCAAAAAACAATACATGCAACCATTAAGGCATCAAGATTATTCGTTTTTGCTCAACTCACTCAAGAGAACATCAAAACCCCAAATCTCATTTGCGACCCATAACTCAACCACCAATAAATCCAACAATACAACACATAATTAGGAATTTTGAAAGGTACCAAATAACATGCATACAACACAGGAACAATGCAAGTTTTCCTTACCTTTTAGGAGAAACAAAATCAACCAAAAGGGAGAGGGAAGAAGAAGTTCTGCACGAATCCAAGCTTGGCTCTAGAATATAGCTTGAGGAAGAACTCTCACAATTACTCACCAGTTACACAAAGAAAGGGAAGAAGAAGAAGATTTTTAGGAATGAGAAGGAAGAGTTCACTCCTTTTATACTAATTCTGGCCAACTAAATAGAACTATGAAACCCCTTCATTAACCTAAGTGTTACATTTATTAATAATAATAATTTTATATTTTAATTAAAAAATATGTTTTAAATTTTTAACCAAAGTCTATCATTAATATTATCGCCATTATCGTTATTTTTATGCACTTTATTGTTGTTTAAAAATAAAAAATGAAAAATATGTGATCAATAGTGAAGTAATTGTGTTTAATTGTCTATTAGTTGTGAAGTAAAAATATCTAAAAATATGAACTATCAGAATAAATTATTACTTTTATTAATTATTATAGATTATTAATGTTTACGTGGATTTTGTCACTTATTGAGGTATTTAATAACATAATAT